AAAAAAAAAAAAAAGTTTCTGCACAGCAAAGAAAACAATCAACAAAGTGAAGAGCCAACCTACAGAATGGGAGAGCATATTTGCAAACTATCCATCCAACAAGAGAGTAATAACTTGAATATATAAGGAATTAAAACAACTCAATAGCAAAAAGACATCTGATTTAAAAATAGGGAAAAGACTTGAATAGACATTTCTCAAAAGAAGATGAACACATGGCCACCAAGTGTATGGAAGAGTGCTCTATGTCACTAACCAGCAGGGAAATGCAATTCAAAACCACAATGAGATATCACTCCATCCTAACTAGAATGGCTATTATCAAAAAGACAAAAAATAATGATAATAACAATACTAGCGACGTTGCTGAGGAAAGAAAACTTCTCTTTCTCCCAGCTAGAGTGGTATAAGCAGATCCCTGGGGCGGGGGTGGCGGTGGGGTACTGAAATCCCATCTCTACCTAGCAGTAATAAGGGATCTCTTCCCTCTCAAGTGTCAAAGAAGGCCAAAAAGGGAACTGGGACTTTCCCACCCCAACTAACAGTAATGAAGCAGCACCTTCCCAGCCCTGCTGGTGCAGTGTCAGAGAAGGCATGGAAAAACAAAGTTTAAATAAGATCCAAAGTCTCACAACATAATACACAAATATCTGGGTTAAATGAAAAATTATTCAATATACCCCAAACCAGGAAAATAGCAACTTGAATGAGAAAAACCAACCAACAGAAGATGCCAGCACCAAGACAGTACAGATGTCGGAATTATCTGATGAGGATTTTAAAGCAGCCATCATAAAAATGCTTCAATGAAAATTATAAACATACTTGAAACAAATGAAAAATAATAAAGTCTTAGCAAAAAATAGAAGACATAAGGAGTAAAAAGATATGTTAGAACTTAAAAATAAAATAACCAATTTTTTTAAATGAATGAGCTCAACAACAAAATAGAACAGAGGAAAGAATCAGTGAACAAGAAATATTACATAGTGTGAAAGGGAGAGAGAAAACAGAGTTTTTATTCTTTTAAAAAAAGAACAAACTTCACTGGAGCTGGAATGTATCTTGACAGCAGTGGTTGTCACATTTAAGATAACATCATGGAATAGCATAAAGTTACAGACATAAATTACAGAATTATCAATTTTCTTGTTTTGATATTGTACCATAATTATATAAGGTGTAACCACTAGGCGAAACTACATAAAAGATATACAAGACCTATATTATCTATTATTTTTGTAACTTCCTTTAAGTCTTTAATTATTTCAAAATAAGAAAACTACATAAAGGGGGGTAATATAGAAAAAGAGAGAGACACACATACACACTCAGAAAATACTTTTCCAATATCTTCAGTGATAAAAATTATCACTAGAGACCCTGCAGTTATTTGAATGTTTATAAAGTGTTTTTATAAACAACATTAAACTGATATTTGAAAATCAGATAAAATAAATGTTTTCCAAGAAAAATATAGCTACCCCAAAACTAACACAAAATGAATAGGAAATCAAAGTAGTACTACATCTACTTTTAAAATATCAAATCTGAAATTTTATAAATTTCATATTTTATATTATACATAAAAGAAACTCCAAGACCACATGAATTACCCAGTAAATTCTCCCAAACATATGAGAAATAAACTAATTGTAGCCAAAATCTTTTATAAAATAGTAAAAGAGACACTTTCCAACTCATTTTATGAAGGTAGTAAAACCTTCTAACAAAAATATGACTAGATTATAAAAAAGAAAAAATCTAGGCTAAGGCCAATTTCTTCTGTGAACCAAACATTCGTAAATTAAATCAAGTTATAATCTGACAAGCTGATTTTAAAATGTATGTGAAAAGACCCCTAGAGAAAGTCAAGAGTAGTAAAGGCAGTCATGAAGAAGAAAAACAAGATCATTGCTAGACATCAAGACTTACAGACTATAGATATTAAGGTCATGTGATATTAGCGCAAGGATAGATTAATAGACTAAATAGCAGAATAGAGAATCCCAAGACAGTCCAAACATATAAAATAACTTTCTTATGACAAAGCTGACATTATAGTTCTGTGGGAAAAAGATAATCTTTCCAAAAACCAAGTGGAGTCCATTGGATATCCATGTGGAGCGTAAAACCATGATCTTTATCTTACATCATAGGTATTCCAACAATTCTAGGTGAACTAAAGGCCTCAATGTAAACCACTATGATTTCTAAAAGTCAATTAAATTGACTTTATCATGAAATTATACTGGAAAACATCTAATCTCCTAAACAGAATGTAAAAATTATTAGCAATAAAAGAAAAAACCTAATTGGACTGTAAAATATGACTTACAAATTCTGTTTGTCAAAACTTGCTATTATGATAGCAAAGCCCCAGTGCCAAAAACATATGTATAAAAAAAACACAAAGTTCTTGACTTCAAAATATAAAAAAAATCCTTACATATAAATAAGTAAATAAACATTTTAAAAAATGGACAAAATTCTTAAAGAGGCACTTCAAAAAAAGGTAATTATAAGGCCAGTGGATATACAAAAAAGAGCTTGGTTTTCTTAGTCATCAGGGAAATGTAAATTAAGGCCACAAAGACTTTGAATGCCTCTACCCTATGGCTTCAATTAAAAGAACAATGAAGGCTGGACTCGGTGGCCCACGCCTGTAATTCCAACACTTTAGGAAGCAAAGGCGGGCAGATTACGAGATCAGGAGTTTGAGACCAGCCTGGCCAACATGGTGAAACTCAGTCTCTACCAAAAACACAAAAATTAGCTGGGTGTGGTTGCAGGCACCTGTAGTTCCAGATACTCTGGAGGCTGAGGCAGGGGAATTGCTTGAATCTGGGAGGTGGAGGTTGCAGTCAGTGAGCCAAGATCACACCACTGCACTCCAGCGTGGTGACGGAGCATGACTCTGTCTCAAAAAAAAAAAAAAAAAAAAAAAAAAAAAAAAAAAAAATATCTTGTTAAAAAAAAAAAAAAAAAAAAAAAAAAAAAAAAAAAACCCATTGATATCACTTCTTGGTGAAACAAAAATGCACATATATGCAAACCAAAAGATACCTCAAGGGATATTTATTGCAACACAATTTGTAATAATAAAAAAATAGAAACAAATAAAATACACATAAATAGCAGAATCAATAAATAAGTTATGATAAAATTATACAATGAAATACTAGATAGGAATAAGAAAGAATGGCATATTGCTACATGCAACAATGTGCTTGCATCTCACAAACATAATGCTGAGCAAAGGAAACCAGACACCAAAATAATGTATACAGTAGCCTTTCCCTCTACTTGGAGGGAGAGGGAATAGCTGGGTGGGGGTATGAAGGCTTCTGGGGTGCTACTGATGCTTTACTTCTTTATCTTGGTGGTTATATGGGTGTGCTCACATTGTGAAATTTCAGTGAGCTGGTCACTTGTAATTTGGGCACTTGAAAATGTGATATCTTTAAAAAAAATTTTACTTTTAAAGTATAGCAAGAATTAGAGAAAAATATGGAGTTAACAGCATTTCATCCAAAAGCTGAAATCTTTGTGGGTAAAAGGCAAATTAATTTCACACAGGCACTTCCACACAGACAGCATATGCATCTCCGAGGTTACAGATGGCAAGGAATAAGTGCATGCCTTTGAAAACAGGAGTTGAACCCGGAAAATGGGGTTTTCTAAGTTCCAGCTCAAATACAGATGGTCCCCAAATTATGACTATTTTCAACTTTACAATGGGTTTATCAAGGTATTAAGTACATTTTCAGCTTACAATATTTCCAACTTACCTTGTTATTGGGACACAACCTCATTTTAAGTCAAGAAGCAGCTGCACATATCTAAGCCTTGCAAAGGTCTGTTACAGTTTCCTGAGAGTAGGAAATAACTCGGACTTCATCAAGTAAATGGAAACCTATTCTTGGCTTATCAACAACAAAAAGAGGAGTTACCACCTAATTAGTTGTTTATATTCTTCTTCCTTCTTTTTCCCCCTCTTTAAAAAAATAATTCTTACTTTTTATTTACTTAGAGTTTTTTTCTTTATTTCTTCTGAAAAAAACAGATACATGTGCAGAACATGCAGGTTAGTTACATAGGTATATGTGGTGGTTTGCTGTAACTATTGACTAGTCCTCTAAGTTCCCTCCCCTGACCCCAACACCCAATAGGCCCTAATGTGTGTTTTTCCCCTCTCTGTGTTCATGTCTTCTCAGTTTTCAACTCCCACTTATGGGTGAGAACATGTAGTGTCTGGTTTTCTGTTCCTGTGTGAGTTTGCTGAGGATGATGGCTTCCAGCTTCATCCATGTATGCAAAGGACATGATCTCATTCCTTTTTCTGGCTGTATAGTATTCCGTGGTGCATATGTACATTTTCTTTATCCAGTTTATCACTGATGGGCATTTGGGTTGGTTCCATGTCTTTGCTATTGTAAATAGTGCTGCAATAAACATATGTGTGCATGTGTCTTTATAGTAGAATTATTTATATTCCTTTGGGTATATACTCAGTAATGGGATTGCTGGGTCAAATGGTATTTCTGGTTCTAGATCCTTGAGGAATTACCATACTGTCTTTCAAATGGTTGAACCAATTTACATTCCCACCAACAGCATAGAAGTGTGCCTGTTTCTCCACAGCTTTGCCAGCATCTATTGTCTGTTGACTTTTTAATAATCACCATTCTAACTGGCATGAGATGGTAGCTCATTGTGGTTTTGATTTGCATTTCTCTAATCATCACTGATGTTGAGCTTCTTCATAGTTTGTTGGCAGCATAAATGTCTTTTTTTTTTTTTTTT